CTAAGGAAGCTCTTGTGACATCATGTATGTCTGATGTTACAAGGAGCTCGGCCTTCATCTAGACGATATGGAGCAACCCAATGGCCCATTGGTTAGGTTCAATGGAACGCCGACATGGCCACTGAGAGCAGTAAGCTTGGAGGTGCAGGCTGGCACCAGAAAGATCACAACAGAATTCACTATCATCGACACTCCATCTCCTTACAAATCTTGGGAAGGCCATGGTTGCATGCAATGGGGGCAGTTCCCTCAAACGTTGCATCAACTATTGCGGTTCCCCACAGAACATGGGATTGAGGAAGTCAGAGGAGACCAACTGCAGGTAAAGAATTGCTCCATGGTAGCAATGAAAACTACCTGCAACATTCGGGAACCAGGGAAGGCAGAGATTGAATACGAGGACATGGAGGTCCTAGATGATGTCGGCAAGGAGCCAGCCAAAAAGAGTGAAGAGACATTGAAAAAAATCCTCGTCCAGGAGGGCAACGAAGAGCGCTTCATTCAGAGAAGGAAAGTTGAATTAGACATTCAAGAACAAGGAGGCACATCGGCCATATGCAGAGCTTACATTATCTAAAGAACAAAAAGGTACAAGAGTACAAGCGACAAAAAAAGGAAAAACTTCAAAAACTGAGATGATGCTTAACCGAAGTTAAGCCGAGATGATGTTTAACCGAAGTTAAACTGAGGTGACGTTTAACTGAAGTTAAATTGAGATGATACTTAACCAAAGTTAAACCGAAATGATGTTTTACACTTGTTGAAATTCTGAGAGAATTTACAAGTTAAAGAGTGCACAAAGTTAAATGTCGGCAAAAGATTCGCCGGAGTCAAACGTCGTTTTGATTAGAACCACTAAGTGCACGCCAGAAGTGGTGACCAGAATTTTGAAAGGAATAAATGCTTCAAGAAACAGCGATGATAGTTTGCAAAGGCCAAGAGAAAGAGGGTCTAAAGGGGGTGAATTAAATACTAGAAGTTTTAATACATCGGCGAAAGAAGAACACATCAGGTCTGTGACTACAGCACGAAGCCAACTTCCTTAATGTGATCCTAAGTACAACTTACGTTCACATTAGGGGGCAGGGAAAAGGTGTAGGGGGAAGGAATGATAATTAAGGAGCAAGGAATGTTAACACTTGTTGAAATTTTTGAGCAAATTACAAGATGAGTTAACCGAAGATTATGAAGTCTACCACTTGTTGAAATTTGTAGCAATTTACAAGTTTGGTATAGCCGAGATAACACAGAAAGACGTTTCCGAGATATGATCAAACCGAGATGACCAACTAGCTTGTTAAGAGCTGAGAAGGTTGGCAAAAATGAAGACCTTAAAGAACTAGGGACTGAAAGCAAGAACGTCGGACTAATCTGCTTCAATGGACGACAATGGTTCAGCCTCGGCAGTCAGTTGGAGGAGCTTCCCTACCGCTACCTCGGCATCAATTTCAAGAAGGAAACAAAACTACTCGGCATTAATGGCAGGATATAGAAGATAGTTGGGAAGACTTCTCAACAGCCTTCTCGGCCTCGAGCTCAGCCTCGGTCTCCTGAAGAGTTTGATCAAGGCTCTTCTCGGCAATTGGCACCTCGGAGTTTGAAGGCAAAGATTGAAAGCAAGAATCTGGAAAAAGACACAGAAAACAGATACAAGAATGTAATTCGTAATCAAGAATGGTGATGAAGCTATCAAGAAATCAAGACAAAAAGATTGCACAAGTGTGTCAAGCCAAGAACAGTGGTAGAAATCAACGGATGTGTGAACAGTGTGTATTCAAGAAGATGGTTTGGAAATAACGGGTAAAACAAGCAATGGTGATTAACAATGAAGCAGAGCTTCTTGGAAAGCAACAAGAAATAAAACCAGGAGGAACAGTGGCTTACCAGAAAGAGGGAAGCCAGAATAAGAATTACCGAAGTCTGACGACAATAACAG